ACTTTGGTATCTGCAAGGAGGGAGTAGAGATCAGGGGTACATACAGATCTGAGCACCCTGCAGGCCCTGCCCCTGGCCTCCCAAGCCCTGCCCCCAGCAACCAAAGCCCCGCCCCCACAGCACCTGCCAGAGCCACCCCGGGCTGCTTCAGTTCCACCCCCACCAGCTGCTGCTCCCTAGAGAAAAACAGGGGGCTCCCACAATGAAATGGGACCCCAGGCTTGGCTCCACCCCTTCTTTGCGGGGGAAGGGGCTTCAGCTCAGGCAGTGGGGAGCAGCCCCTCCCCAGAGCCAGCCATCACCTGGATGCCCTCCTACCCACCACTCCCTGCTGCCCTCCCTAGCCCAGATCTGCCCCCATGTGCCCTCCTACTCCCCAGTTTGCACCCCCGCACCCCATCCACAGGGCACCAGTACCTCTCTTGGCTGGTATGGCAATGGGGATCTTTGGTGAAGGCGCAGCCCCAGACTGGCTGCCAGGGGGGGCCGCTGGCTTGGTCTTGGCCAGGGGGCGGGAAGAGCCAGGGATTGCGCTCTGGGTGCTGGGAGCTGTTGATCTGGAACGACAGAGAAGCGGGGGTGGGAGATCCGCGGGGGATGGGGTCCCTGGCATGCAACTAGCCCAGCCCCCCTCTCAGGGGGAATCCGAGGCACGAGGGGGACTGGGCTGCAGGTAGAGTCCAAGTCCCCCCACTGCAAACAGCCTCATCAATTCCTCCCTAGCCACTGCCAAGGGATGGGGAAACTGAGGCAGGAAGAACCTAGGTGAGCACACCCTGCTGGCTGCAGCAGGCACTGCTGGTCCATGAGTCCCAAGCCCCCCTGCTGCTGCGTGGGGAGTCCCTCAAGCAGGCAGCAGAGGCAGTGCTGGTGGGAAGGGTCCCACCCCAGAACTCCCCATGCCTCCTAGCCCCTGTCTGGAGACACCAGGACCCCCCCAGCCCTCCAGCCCCCATCAGGAGACCCCAGGACCCCTCCAACCCTGAGATCCCCCCGGCCTCCCTCTCCCCCTCCCCCCAGGACCCCATAAAACTCTGAGCCCTGCCAGGGCTGGGCTTAGTGGCAGGGGCAGCTTCCCAGGCAAAAGCGGGAACAGATGTGGCTGCCCAGGGCTCCCACTGGGCAGGGGTATAAGCAGAGCAGTACTGCTGCCCTCTGTGCCTCAGTTTCCCCCGGCCAGGCAGCTGGGCCTAGAAACAGACCAGGGACCACCTGAAATTGGCCAGGGGCCCCACCT